GCTTTTTTTTTTTCCCAAGAAAAAATAAAACTTTTTTGGAAGCGGGTACAGATTTTTGGCAGCGCAAGCGCTGTGAGTAGTCCGAAGAAAGAAGTGAGCAAATCGGTGTTTGCGAGATGGATTTTCGCCTCGGAGTTGTAGCGGTCCAGCGGGCCCGCAGCGCATTGCCTGGTTTTAGCTGTTCCAAATGAGCCTTTCGTCGTCTGTGAAGGGGCGTGTGCTCGTGTTAAACCTCTGGTGTTGATGAGCATCTGCCAGGCCTCAAGCCCAGCTGTTTGGAGTGTTCTGAGTGCAAAGAGGAACTGTTGGTCAGGGTTGTACCAAGGTTTTTCCAAAGGCTGTTGGCGTTTTTCCACCTCAACATGACAAGAAACTTCTTTACTGTGAGGGTGACGGAGCACTGGCACAGGCTGCCCAGAGAGGTTGTGGAGTCTTCTTCTCTGGAGACTTTCAAAACCCACCTGGATGTTCCTGTGTGGCTGCCCTAGGGGATCCTGCTCTGGCAGGGGGGTTGGACTAGATGATCTCTAGAGGTCCCTTCCAACCCCAAGCATTCTGTGATTCTATGATCTGCAGATTCAGGAGCAGACTGGGTTGATGAAAGGGCCTTTAAGGAATGCTTGATGTTGAGGGGCTGTGATACTTCAGGAGTAAAAATTGTCCTGACCTGAAATTGTAGCTGTTTGCAAGAGAAGTCCTAAGATTGGTATGAACAAAGCGTGTCTGTGAAAGCACAATGAAATGGCAGATCAAGGGATAAAAGAATGCTGAGTATTAGCTGTTGCAGAGCCCCATGTGTTTTTTTCAGTTTAAGTTTTTATGTAGTAAGAAGAGCAGAATTGGATTCATAAGGTACTTACATAAGGAAATCAAAAGAGCTGTGAAACCAACAAGTTTTTCCAAGGCCTGTGTGGGGTAGGATTGTAGGACAAATGAATGAGGCGAGAAGAACCGAAACATCCACCCCTAAATCCCATCCAGTGTTATTTTGCTAAATATATACTGTATTGTAATGTGGCCACAACTAGAAATCAAAGAAACAAAAACCCCTAAGCTTACTAGGGCAATTGAAAGATAATGCAATAAGATTCACCTTGTCTGGCAGTTAGAAAGGCTTTTGGTGTTATCTTTGGGGAGGGAGGAGCAAAGGGAGGTTGTTGTAAGGGATTAAGAGTTTGAGGGAGTCAAGAAAAGGAAGACAAGGAATCGAAGTTCTCTGTTTAAATTGAAAATTTGGTCATGTTTGGTATCTTCATGCATCCATATGAGCCCCTCAACCACAGCTCCAACTGAAGTCTAAGTTGGCTATAAAGTTGAGCCAAATGGTGACTTAGGCCTGCTTAAAAGAATTTGTATGTGCTGACTGTTTGTACAGCGGTTGGATAAGTTTGACGATGGCACAGAAGAGGATATGAAGATGTGCTGTCAGAAGGAAGGGATAGAGAGTCATAGGATTCTCCTTTTGGTTAATAGTGAGCTGTTAGGTTTAGCTGTCTTGTACTGCCATTGGAGAGTGATTTATAACTTTACAGATATATGGGAAAGAGAAAAGCACAGTTAGGAAGGCAAAAGTGTACTTTCACTCATCTGATTTTTCCTTCCTCCTTCATCAAGCTGGAATAAATGGTGCTAGCAAAATGCATTTAGACATGTAACCACTAAATTATTGTTAAAAATTTTCTAGGACAGACTCAGATGAAATGGCTCTCAAGCCTTCTTTAATCTTAAGCTTCAAAAAATAAATGTGCAATCTGCAGTATGAGTATCTGATCTCATTCTTCATCCATGTAAGGACAGGGAAGTATTGGTGTCCATTGTCTTTGTGAAAGAAGAAAAAATCCCATAGAGGACTTCGCTGTGTTTTTTCCCCACAAAACCGTATACTAATTTGTGCTGAAAACATTTCTTTCAGCTTCAAGAAGAAGAGACAAAGCACCACAGTTCACAAGATCAGTAAGTACTGAAACTATTTGCAGTTAACTCAGAACTGTCTCAAAAAGTTTTCTAAGCTGTGTGTACAGTTTGTACAGGAACCTGCAGGCAAAACCTGATGAAATAATCCACTGTGACTATTCCAGAACCAGCATCTCACATCTTTATCTCCCAGCTGTTTTCAGGCCATGTTCTCATAAAGGCAAAAACATCAACAGTAATGACAGTTATCTTATATTGAGACCGTATACTGCAGATCTTAAAAGTAACTTGAAGTTGCATTTAAAATAAACTCAGACATTGTAATGTTGTTTTTACTGTGAATTTAGAGGATTCATAGTGGTTGCTTTCTGGCTTAATTGAAAAGTCTGCTAATTTGCATAAGTGAAATTGTTCTTGCACAATGGAGTTGAAACTGATACCTGAATGATTGCTGAACTTCTAATTGCTGAAAATTTTCTTATTATTCCACACAATTTCAAGTAATTTCAAGTAATATGTTATCTGTTATGATTTTTAAAGGCAAATGGTAGAAGTGGACCTGGCATGTATTCAATTTTTATTTAACTTCCAGGAGCAGTTTTAGAGATACACCAAAGCAGTCAGACCAGCTGACTGCATGTATCTGTCTTCTGCCCTTCTAAATTAAAAATCAAGGTTTTGGGGAAAGAAACAGTGACTTAGGTTTTCTTGTGTTTTTTTTTTTTTAACACATTTGAGTGAAACCTTGATCAGTTATTGGAGGATATAAACTATCTCTGCAATATATTAATATGTTATTCCTATACTGGAATTCTTGTAGCAAGTAATTTCAGAGTTATTAATTTCTATTTCTTGTGATATGAACTTGTTCAGACTTTCAGAATTCTGGAATTTTAAAATGCGTTTTCTTGCCCCCACAAAATGCCTCAGCATTATAGGAAGTAGAGTTTGCAATTAAATACTGATTTGCTTCCATTCCTTCCCGCTGCTGACTTACCATAACACATGAAGATGCTAAGTCTTTCTTTATAATTCAGGATTGGGAAAGGCCTTATACCCAATCTTTGAGAGGCTATTTTTAAACTACTCATTTACAAATGAGCACAAACTTTTGATGAAAAGGTGTCTTGAAATTTCTAGCTGTGGGAATTTATTCTGGAAATAACTTCTGTGTTGTTTCTGTTTTATCTCGCAAAACAGTTTATCTCCCATCCAACTTCAATAATTTTCAATTTTTTAGCCTATACCTCCCAGAACTGAGAGAATGGCTGTTGATCAGGACTGGAGCAGTGTTTATCCAACAGCAGCTGCATTTAAGCCTTCTGCTGTACCTCTCCCGATTAGAATGGGTTACCCAGTGAAAAGAGGAGTCCCTCCACCAAAAGAAGGCAACTTAGAACTTGTAAAGGTGAGACACATGCCGTTGGAGTGTGGTAACTTTAAAAATTATTATGCACTAAGGCTGCATTGCTTTGGTTGGAGTATTGGATACTCTTTTCTATTATTAAAAAGGATAATACTCTATTTAATTTCTAAATTACATGGTAACAAATAAAAATGTATTTAATGAATGAACCAAATCAGAAGATTTTATTAATACTATCATGCCTGTGATGTTTGTAATGAGACTATCTTAAGTCTTTTGCTGAATCACACTTGAGAAGAGTCTTTTTATTTGAGTATTTTATTAAGCATATTGTTCTACCTTAACAAATGTTGAAAGTGTAATTGGATTTTTGTAATGTTCCTTTACTTATGAACAGACAAAAAGCTGTTATTTTGGTAACTTCTGTATGTTTTAGATCCCCAATTTTTTGCATCTCACTCCTCCTGCAATTAAGAAACACTGTGCAGCTCTTAAAGGTGAGGATATGGTTTTTTGTTTTGCTTTGTCATGTTTTATATTTTTTTCTTTCTCCTGTTTTTGAAAAACATTTCTCTTGGAGTTTTAAGGCGATGCAAAATGTGACTGTGTGTGATGAAGTAGAAGGTGAGATGTGGTTCACCCTAAAACTGGTTATTTGTCATCTTCTGGCTAATATTGTATGCGTTCTTGTTGCTGCACAGAGTCATACAGGTGGTAGGCAGATAAGTCTTCGGAGATTTTCAGCACACCGTTAAGACTTTAATTTTACCTTTCTGTTAGGCCCTGCTTGTACTGGAGATTTTTTAGTTTAGTGTTTTGGGAAAGATAAGTGACAAATGTGACTCTGTTCTGAGAAGGTTAGCTGTGAATAAACGAGCGTTCAATCAGTAGCCATTCTGGCATGCATTAAAAAAAAAAAAGCGCTATTAATAATTTAAACCTTCTGTGAGAGCAAGATCTGCTGGGGAGATATAGGATCTAATGAAGGGTGAGAGCATCTCTGCAAGCCAGCAAGCCAATAAGGAGAACCCTGTGAGGAGGTTAACCTAAAGAGAAGTGTAGGCACAAGAGAACAGGGAGGAAATAGTATTGTTTAGTTTGGGAAAGACGCTTAAGTTCGAGTCCCAACTATTAGCCTCACACTACCAGGTCTTTAAGCACTGCATCTTCATGTCTTTTAAATACTTCTAGGGATGGTGACTGAACCACTTCCCTGGGTAGCCTATTCCAGTGTTTGACAACCCTTTCAATGAAGAAATTTTTTCTAATATCCAATCTAAACCTTCCCTGGTGCAACTTGACGCCGTTTCCTCTTGTTCTGTCACTTGTGACTTGGGAACAGAGATCTACACCCACTTCTTTACAGCCTCTTTCCAGGTAGCTGTAGAGAGGGTTAAGGTCTCCTCTTAGCCTGAATGGTAAGAGGCCTGTCTTGAGTTGCCTGTGTACAAATGCATGCAGCATAGGAAATGGGAGGAATTAGAAGTCTGAGGGGTCACTGAAATGCAGAGTGAAAGTTTCCGTGATTGAGGTACAGGCAAGGATGATGTGGAGCAGAAACTGACCTGTGCCCAAAAGAACAGCTCAGATGCAGAGCTTTGTGATGAGATCTGTAGCCAGCTGGTTAAGAATTTGAGAGTCAGGACCAGAGGAGAAGCCGTAAAGGATATCTTGGTGGACATCTGCAACAAACTGCTTGGTTGAGAAGAGGAAGTAGATGAACAGCTGAAAAAATGTCACAACTGTAAGCTTTAGTTTCCATGGGGAAGCCATCTCAACATCTGCTGGAAGGGTAACAGGATGGGATGGAAGCAATCTAGGAGGTTTCTGGAGTGTTTTGCGGATGATTTTTTGATGCAGATGCTGGCCAAACTGTCTATGAGAAGGTGCTGTGTTGCCCTTGCTACTTGCAAGTATAGAACTGGCTGGAGATCCCAAGGTTGCTGGCAGCCTTGGTTGCAAAAAGAAGGTGGTGATGTTTAAGATCTTCTGAGAAGTATGGAAGGCAAGTAGTGTATTGAAGGCAGTTTCTCCATACAGATGATCAGCAAGTTGACTGGGAGATGTGCCCTGGATTTGTTGTTTAGAGACAAGGAAGAACTTAACAGCTATGTGAAAGTTGGGGGCATCCTTGGCGGTGCTGATCCTTAATCTGTGGCATTTAAAATCCTGAGAGGAGTGAGCCAGACAGACAGTGGAACTACAGTTGACTTCAGGAGAGTGACTTTGGTTTATTCAGGAATCTGCTCAGCAGATCTCATAGGGACTCTCCTGGGGAGAAAAATGGTCCACAAGAGCTGGTGGATATTTAAGTTCAGCCTCTTGAAGAGATCAAGAATGGTCCATTCCAGTGTGCAGAAGGTTGAGCAAGTATGGCAGAAGGACAGCATAGGTGTGCAGGGAACTTCCGAGTGATCTGAGATGCAAAAAGAAAGTACACAGAAAGTACACAGAAAGTAGAAGCCAGTTTTGAGTGCCCAGGAGGAACGGAAGATTTTTGCCTCACTGCCTTCAAGAAGGGCAAGAAAGAAGCTTCACAGAAAAGGCCACGTGGAAGTTGGTAGGCATTTGAAAGTTGAATGTGAGTCAGCAGTGTGCCCCTGTGGCAAGGAAGGCTGCCTACTGAGTTGTATTAACAAAAGTGTAGCTACCACGTGTAGGAAATTAATTATTTTTCCTCTGATGAGTATTGCATACAGTTCTGGGGTCCCCAGGATGAGAAAGATGTGGACCTCTTAGAGGAAGGCCACACAAATAACTGAAGCGCTGGAATACCTCTCCTGTGAAGAAAGGCTGAGAAAGTTTGGCTTGTTTAGCCTGGAGAAGGCTATGAGGGGACCTTATTGTGGCCTTTCAATATAGAAAGGGGATTCTAAGAAAGACAGGGAGAGACTTTTTCCCAAGGTTTGTAGTGACAGGACAAGGAGAAGTGGTTTTAAACTGGAAAAGAGTAGATATTTAGGTTGGACCTGAGGAGGAAATTTTTTTTTTTTTTTTTTTTTTTTCAATGAGGATGGTGAGGCACTGAAGGACTTTGCCCAGAGAAGTTCTGGATGCCTTGTCATTGGATGTATTGAAGGTCAAGTTGCACAGGGCTTTGAGCAGCCTTGTCTAGTGAATGGTGGCCTTGCCCATGTCAAGACTAGATGATTGCTGAAAGTCCCTTCCTATGATCTGATTCGGCAGTTGTGAGACTGTGTCTGTAGTACTGCATCGTGTTTGAGGGAACCCAATACAAAGACAAACATTGAAATACTGGAGCAAGTCTAGAAGAGACCCTGCCATTATTCAAATGAGTATGGTTTCTATAAATAGTACCTTTTAAAAGATATATTCAAATAAGTTTGAAAAAAATCAGAAGATACTACTTGGAGTGTTTTCCCTTTGTTATACAGATTTCTGCACTGAATGGCCAAGTGCTTTGGACAGTGATGAGAAGTGTGAACAGCATTTTCCTATTGAAATTGAAACAGTAGATTATGTTTCTGCAGGCACATCTATTCGTAATCCCAAAGCAAGAGTGGTGACTTTAAAAGTAAGTAAAAAGCCTTTGCTTCAAAACTCCAAGTTCTTGGCTTTCTTTTCATGTGTGAGTGTGATATGTTGTAAGGAAATGAGGGAAGTGGTTTACATGAATGTCTGAATAAGCAGCAGTGGCTTTGTATAAGTGTGTTGCACCGTGTTGGAACTGGGTTTGTAAGGTTATGGATGTGTTTTGATAATGAAGATTTCAGTGCTGATACAAATAGTGTACCTTCTGTAGAATCTACTTATAGAAAAGACTGTAACTGCCCTTATACTCAATGTCTACCCTAGATTCTCATTGCTAATTTATAGACCCTGAAAGTGCATAAGTGTTGAGAGATAGGTCAGATGAATGTGGCACTTTTAGGCAGACCTCCAGGCGTAAGTGTGTATGCAGTAGGAGCAGCTGCCTTCTGATGGGAGGATACTTCGGGTTGGAAGGGAGCTCAGGAGTTTTCCAGCCTGACTTTCTGCTCAGAGTAACGTAGGTAGATCAGACAAGGTTGTTTGGGACTTTAGCTGGTTGGGTCTTGAAAACCTTTAGGGCTGGAGAATGCACAACGTCTCAGGACAGCCTGTTCCAATGCTTGCCTGTCCTCGTAGTGAAGTAAGGATTGTGCTGTGGCTTTTGAACATGCCTTTTGAGATGAGATTGAGATTAAGAGTGGCAGCAGTGATGATTCTGTTCTTACTCTGTCAGTATAGAAGGTAAAATACTGCATGATACCACATGCTCGTGACACCGATACACCATCTTGTCACAGCATCTTTGATTAATTTTGTCTGTAGGAGTCTCTGGTTTAGCTTGTATAATCTTTTGGAATGAAATTTAATTTGGTCTGCATTTCACACCACTATTAGCAGCAGCTTCACCATCCCCTCGCAGTCATTGCAGAGTAGGGTTTAGCCTTTTATCTTCTAATTCAGATCCATGGTTAAGAAAGCAAATTTTCACAAATTTGTATGCATTAGAGATAAAAGGAAATGAGGAGTATCTGTGAGAATAGAAGCTCATGACTTCATGCAGAGGAGGCACACATTGGACCCCCCCACCTTGATCTCATATTCTGTCATCTCGGATGGGGTGACACATTTGCAGGGGTTGACTGTACTGCAGTGGAGTAACTATCCATATGCTTTTTCAGTTACTCGTGTTCTGATCCTAGAGTTCATTAATCAATTTGTCATCTGAGTTATCCTCTGACAACAAAATCTGCCTAGGGAGGGGGAAGAGAAGGGTTTAAAGGTGAAAGCAGATGGCACTGGGTCAGCTAGTGTTTTGAGTTTGTATCAGGGAGAGAGCCTTTACTGTGTGCTGTGTTACAGACTGTGATAAACTCTCTGGTGGGTCTTCATGGTAAGATTTCCTTTCTTAAAATACTGTTTAAAAGTCAAACCTTTTTAGTCTTAATTAAAAAAAGGCCCTTTTTTCTGCCAAATATAATACTGAGATGCAAACTTTTCATCTATTGTTACCTAGTGCTGCTACTTCTTGTTACTAAATTTATCCTAGTCTATTTCCAAGTGGAATTGTCCACGTTGTGCCTGAGAACATAGTATTACAGGGTATGAAATGAGTCTTCTCTTAAAAAATCAACTGCTGTTCCTGGTGGAGGTCTAACTTTTCTAAAATTCCATATAGTCTGTAGCATTCCAGCTAACCATTATAAGCTGTCCAGTTGCTATTCCATTTTGAAGCAAGTAGCTGTATAAATATTTTTCACTTAAAAAGGAATTTGGATTAGTAGGAACAACTTTTTGGGGTTTTTTCTTCCTTTAATATAGACAACAGACTGGATAGCTTCGTAGTTTTTATAGGAAAAACAAGTCACGTGGAATAAAATCATAGCTCTCTTAACAGTACTTTTTATGCTGTATGGCAGCAGCATGATACAACTGTGAAAAGCACCATGTTTTTAAAACAGTGCAAAAAAAGTACTACACAGTGAATTTATTTATTTTTTTCATTGTTGATTTAGGCAAGCCAACACTGGGTATTTGGGCTGGATTATCCCATTCAGCTTAGTCATGGTCATAAAGTGCTTACGTGCAGTGGCAGTTGTCTGCTTACCAGAAAGTTATGTCTGAAACTTTGGAGCTTGGATCATTCTTTCTGTGTTAGAGAGCGTCAAGAAACGGGATTTTGCAAAAAGGCATTTCTCATCAATTTGGGTGAAGGTAGGCTGTTCTGGGAGGGAAGGGGATCTGGGATGGTAAGGCAGGCATCCCCAAAAAAGGGTGCCACTGTTACCTGAGCAAGGTGAGCAGGACAGGCCTGGTAGGAGTAACCTCGTCCATCCGACAGCCCAGTAATCACCTGACAAGTTCCTAGTGGTAAGGCAAGTTTGATCTTGAAGGGGCGCACAAGTCAGTGGATCAGGGTTACGTCTGATGAGCATGACCAGGATCAGTCGGCAGTTTGGTGATTGTCAGGCCAATCCATAGGGATGCAGTAGGTGAGGTCAAGCCAGGAAGGCAAGGTCAGCGTGGACCATGGCCCTTCAACTTTTGTAAGTTTTTTCTGATGTGGGTTTCTCGATTTTTTTTTTTTTTTTTTTTTTTTTTTTGAACAATCCTTTAGTACAGCAGTGATGCAGTAGAAAGAATGTAGTGGAAAAACAAGCAGTGAACAAATTGTATTTGTCATGTGGTACAATCGGAAGAAATTCTGCAAATGCATACTATATAGCCATCCTTTTAATTGTTCATAGTAGCTATGTTGAAGTATTTCCAGAGTGCAGAGACTGGATTTATCCAAGTAATTAAAGCTGTTTTCTCTTGTACTTGAAGGTTAAACTTTCTAACCTGAATTTGGATGACCACGCAAGGAAGAAGCTCATTAAACTTGTAGGAGAGCGGTACTGTGAGGATACAGATATACTCACAATTACAACAGACAGGTACGGTTACAAGAAGGAAAAAACACACCTGTAGGAATGGTCACAGTATAGAAAGGGCTGGCTGTCTTCCAGTAAATTAACTGTTGTGTTGGTAAGTTCTTATGTGTTTTTAAGGCTAAAATATGACTTAAATGTATCAGCACTCCTGTTACTAGCTATTAAAATTGTAATGGACAAATTGCATAAGGCCAAACCAAATATTTGTTAAATATTGTTAGTTATTAAAGCTTTGTATTTAGGAGTCTGTGTGAAGTAGTTGTCATGTTTCCAAACAGAACTGGTGAGTGACCAGACACTTCTTAATGTTTTGATTTTCTAGATATAAACAAATCAGTGTAGGTATTTACAGTTAATGCTGCTTTGGAAAAACATGTTTTCTGTGTTGAATTCTGAAGTGTTTAAGAGAATACATATGTATTCCTAAATTCACAACACACTCTGAGTCACAGCTTCTTTCAGTGGAAGGAAGAACATTGCTGGTAGTCTTTTGTGTTCGTATGTTTTTATTAGACTTGTTCTTCCCCATTGGTATGATACAGCGTTTTATTCTACATAAAATAAATAGAAAATGGATAAAATTGTGCATTTCTTTTTTTACTGGACTTGGAAATCTGGCTAGTTTATTGGGACCACTTATGCTACTACTTGCTACTAGCAAGACTTACTTTGTGGCTAAAACATTAGAGTAGCTGCAAGGAGCTTACCCTCTAGAGAATCTGTGAATAATCTCATGTTGCATCCCAGAAGAAACTCTTAATATGCCTGTTGGTATTTCACTTTATTATGAATAAATTTTAAGGCCCAAACTTTGAGTGGTATGCATTTCTTTAATACAGGATTTTCCAATCTGGTATTTAGATTACTTTTAAGCAGAGGCTATTTCATTATGAAAGAAATATGAGTCCTTTTTAAAGTTTACTAGAATAATCATAGTCCATAGTCCTTCAGATGAGTGTTTATTATAGTGTTTCAGATGTAGTCTCATGTATTTCAGTTTGTTCTGCATCAAGAAGGGGAGTGAAGGAGCATGCAGGAAGAGGTGGGTGTTAGAAAGCAGAGGTTATGGTTGATCGGCATGAGGAAGAGATTAATGTGATCAAATTCTCAGCAAGTTTTGATGGCTAGCTTTAGGAAATACACTGGTTTTTCAGGAATGTGTCTCATCCCAAGAAGATTTACTGGTGATCCTGTTTTGACTTACAGCTACATTAACTTAAGCTTTTCTTAAAGTTTTGACTAGATCTCCTGTCCTGAACTGTATTTCATGGTTGTTTTCACGAACTATCCTCCTCCCTTCAGGTCTCCGGGGGGAGAATAAAGCAGGTTTTACAGGAGTACAGACATAGTGTATGTTAGATTGCACTTTGACACAGAAAGCAAAAAAGTTTATAATGTTTTCTGATAATTTTGTAAATGTTGTATGTTTTCCTACTCTCTTGGAGATGCCCCTTCTTTCATTTTTTTGATGCTCGTGCCTTCATGATGTTACTCTTGATTATCAGAAATGCATGTGAATCAAACACACAGTGCCCCAAGATTCCTTACATTACAAATTAGAAATTTTTATGGTAAGTTTAACATTTTGTTTATAAGTGTATTATAATGGCTTTATTTCAAGAAAACTGACTTTGTTTATAAATTTTCAGGTGTCCGCTAAGAAGACAGAACTATGATTATAGCATACACCTTCTCACAGTTTTATACCATGAATCTTGGGTAAGCAATTGTGAATAACTCATGCTCTCCAACACAAATGTGCTCTCTCATAACTAAGAAAAAGTTTCTTGACCGTGTGCAGCTTAAAGTAAATTATCTTAGATCTACATTTTGCTTTATTCCAAACTCTTTTAACTGTTACTTAATCTGCCTTTTCTTGGGCTCTTTCTGGGCTGCAGTAAACTATTGCTGTAAAGTGGAAGTATTCTGTTTCTTAAATGCTCTTTTGTAAATCTTGCCTCAGGCTGAAAGGAATGAGGACTTAAGTTGCTTTGCTGAGTTCACTTTTGCTCAGAAAAAGGGACATCCTCTCCACCTTCTGTTATTTTTAGGATTTCATTACATCATTTGTAACTCTTTAATTAAGTATTCTGACGAAGGAAGTGTAATGTAAATTTCTCTATAATCATTCAGGATGTGCCATATTTGGATTTTTTTCCCAGTGGTTTGTTTTGTTAAATAGTCATACGTGTGAAGTGTCCAATGTCAGTGTGCTAAAAGGTACTGTTCCAATTTATTGATAGTTTACTAAAATTCTTAGGTAGTCCTCTAAATACAGTAAGATATTTTTAGACAAGATCTTTCTTTTACAGTGAATTCTTCAGATGTGACTCCAGTATTTGTGTTGTTAATCATGCTAGATATAGGTATTGCCTTCAACAGTTTTAGAGCTGTTTTTTACAGAAAAGAGAATTTAGTAGTCTGAAATTAAATTATTGTTGAAACCCCATAGTTATGATTTGGATAACCTTTGTTTAAATGTAATATGTTATTAGTCACATTGTTTGAGACAGACAGTGAAAGCTGTCATCATCAGCATATTTCCATAGATGTGCTCTTCTAAGTACGTGGTAGCTGATCAGCTAGCAAAATTCACAATTAATGTTTTGAATTATTCTATAGTATTTAAACTAAATCTTCATATATTGCATTTTTATGAATTTCAGGGTTCTTGCTTTTGATCGTTGCAGTGATGACAAAAAATACATAGTAAGAAGGATGAGCTGTATCTCCTTTTCACTGGAAGTTGCCTTGAAAGATACATTTTGTAGTTTTAAAGTGCATTGAATTGAATTCAGCTTATACTAACATCTTAAAAGCCACGTTTATTTGGAATTTCAAATGTTTTGTGCACATGAGTATTTTTCTCTCCAACAGCATTACGTTCCATTACAAATCTTAAATTAATGACAGATTAAATTAATGACAGTATTAAGCAATGACAAGAGAGCTAAACTCTGTTCACTTTATTAATTCTAGACGAACACCACATCTGTCCTTTGCTCTAGTATTACTTGGTGATGGAAGACAGGGCTATACGATATTGCTACATGAGTGTTCAGTGTGTATTGAATATGCATAAGTCTCTTACCCTTTTATTACCTTTCAACTTCCATGTTAATATTTGATGAGTTCATCAATCAGTTGTAATTGTCTTTGATTTCCATGAAAAATTAATGGTCTCCTGAGACATGTTTTTTTATTTTGTGTGACATGTTTTGTTTTGTGGTTTGTTGGTATTTTTCCATGATCAGTGGGTAATGCCTTTTAATAACTTGCTGAGAGGTAGTTTGGATACATTTTGTAAACCATAAGCAAAACAATGTGTGGTTTATTTTAATTTGTAATTTTAGTTTTAACTTGAGTGTTGGAGGGGGATGGATGGGGGCTGGCCTTCCATGTAGACAGTAATGTCAGTCTTGTTCACAGAACTAATTGCATGACTTTTTCAGCATAGCGCCACACACTTGTTTTTGTGTGAGTGAAGGAATTCAATAAAAAGATGAGGGCAGTATTCCCTTCTTGCTAAGTGAAGGAAAAGCTGGCTGCATGTAAATTCTGCCCTCAATCCTGAAAATTTTGCCTACTCTCTCTTTAAATATGGCATAACTCTGTAATTTTTGTTAATAATTGGATTACTGAGTTTTGCAAACCAGCA